TTCCAGTTTGACACCAGTGGATGGGTCGAGGTACACGGCATTTGGAACTTGTTTAACAATTACAAGGCCGACTCATGGTTGTCGCATCTGCATGACCCCGAGGGTGATCTTATCTTGCAATGTAAACATTTTTGTTTTCTTTTCTTTCATCAAAACAGAACGAATCAGGAAATCAACAGACACATTTGGTCAAATTAAGGATTTTCTTGGTATGTTGTCCCAGCATAGACACAAATATCCTTGACAAGGAAGAAATATAATAAATAAAAACAACTAAAATAAAATAAATAAATAAAAAAAGTTTTTAATGTGGAGCATTTTTTGTCATTAATAAAGTTTGCATTATTTTTGGGGCCAAAACATGTTTTTATAATGATGATAAAATGCTGGAGAACAGCATAAATCGGCAGCAATCAAAACTGATGTTAGAGATCTCTTGTCATATTATTACCAGCTCAGGTTACTTTGAATTGAATTGAATTTTGCATTGAAAAAGGTGCGAGAAGCTCCTTTATTATAGTGCAAGTCCAGGTATGCGGAATGTAAATAAAATGTCTTTTAAAATGTCAGAACAGTGTCGTTTCCACTTAGTATTTCATTTGTATCGTAAAAAAATATTCACACTATAATGTCAAGCTGTGATCTAAAGCATGAACCGCAAAACAAAAAATACGTACCTTAACGAAGCCTTTTGACATTTCTGCAGCATCACCCACATGTAGAGTACAGGTGTTATGCAAGCATTGTGTAATCTCTATGCTTTGCAGGGAGGCCTCAGATTCAAGTATGTTTGACGCATCTTCTACAACAGCATGAAGAGAGAGCTCAGTGAGGCAAGGACGTGCAGAAGCACACTAAAAAACAAAACAAACTACACATGCACCCTCCTCAACGAAACACGTAAAACCGCCATTGAGACATTCACACCAAGTACAGCGTGTATGCGAAGTGTCCAACCACTAAACCAACTGTTGTCAGGAAAATATGCCTCTGTAATCTGTTAAGGCCCAAGTGTTGTCTTTTCCTCCGATCGCAGGCTGCTATGTTTGATCTGGCGCACGTCGTCGGCTCGTGTTATGAGTGACTGTACAGGATTATACACAGTGAGAGAGGAATTGGTCCTGAATCAACAACAATCGCGCTGGAATTCCATCTTTCTCCATGTCCGGAGAGGCGGCGCATTCTTCAGACTGTATGGTTAAAACATATGAAACCCGTTGACAGGGCTGGTAAATATCTGCTGCTGCAGCGCTGAGTTTCTAATAACCAAATTGCATTAGGTTATTATTTCATCACGTACAGACGTGTGATTGTTTCTGAAGTGTGCTCTCCTCTGTAGACGGAGCAGGGGGAAAAAAACGCACGCCTCCACCGAGCCGTGGGATGCGTAATTTCCATCCAATATGCACGCCCACCACGAGCGCTTCTTTCTTCACTAAGCCTGATAGATGGCACTTAAACATAAATAGATTGGAATAGCATAGCTCTAAGTAGGCCCTTGAAACCAAATAAAAGCAGACCCAGAAAAGACACCGTGTTACTCTGGATGTCCAGTGCAAAATCACAGTAAACTGCCGATTTACAGTAACGATGCCTTTACAAACTCACTTTACGTTCAGAATTTCAATTTTGTGTTTCACTCATTTAGGCGTTTCTTGAATATGATTCTACGATAATATATGTACTTCCTAATTAAGTTTGTCTCATAAGCACTCATTGCTGTTTACTACATGCTGTATAATCAATAGCATTCTAGGATTTCTTTAGTACAAGGCACACAAAAAGGAGCATAAAAAGACACTAAAAGTAACGACTTAACATTTGATAGCTAAATGGTTGAAACCATGGATGTATTAATGACATCAGGATGCCGCATTCAAAGATGGCCGTCCCCTTCGTCCCTGTAAAAGTTGCTTACTGGGCGAAACATCTAGCCTCTGCTAGGCCAACCTTAACACTGACTCCTCAATTGTATGCAACAAATATTGTGACAATATCCATTTTTATAAAATTAATTAATATCCACTTTAAAATCAATTTAAACGAACATTGTTGGGATTATGACTGCTGTTGTTGAAGAAGAGGTATCAGTTCATCTGACAGGACCACGTGGGTACGTCTGGGGGAAAAAAGGGCTCATAATTCTTCACTTATACATAGCTTCACTCTTGGAGCAGAGTTTCTCTATACGTAGCCGTAACGTGTTGCTCTAACCAAGGCTTATCAGCGCTCGAACTGTTGTTCCTGCCAGACGACAACTGCTGCGACCGTGTGAGCAGAGCGGGGATGTGTGGATGAGATAGTACAGCACTCATTAGAAGGGCCTGAGGACAGCTGCGGAGATAGTGCTTATTAATCTCATGACACTCTCACACACACACACACACACACGTATAACAAAGTTCGTTTTTTACCTATGAAAGTGACCAGTCGCCAAAGAGACAGATTCAGATCAATTCATGAGACTTCATCGATTTGCTTGTGCTGGATTGAAACGCGAGAAAAAAAGAGATAAGTTATGATGCATTTAGTTGTTTTTTCTTTTTGTATCTGGCTGGTTCTTAAAAAGTAATTGTGTTCTTTGAAGTTACTGCCACAGTGTTGCAATAAACACATCTGTGTCTGAATATTTTGGAAGATGAAAGTACAGCACCAGCATCGGCTGTCTTCAGCACCGAAAGCTGAGAGCATTCCATTTCCTATTCATGAAAAAAAAAAAAAGCCCCGTCGCATTTTCCCTCACACTTCCCTTAAGTGGAGATAACATCTGGGATAAGAAAGCAGTAAAGAGTAAGAGGGAAAGGGAGGAGGGAGTGTGTGTGTGTGTGTGTGTGTGTGTGTGTGTTTGTGTGAGTTCTTCAAAGCTTGGTGTAGTGTGTATTGGATCGGCCCTGGGGAGGGTAGTGTGGTAGATAAGCCTGTGACAGCTGCCAAACACCTCTGTGTGTGTTTGTGTGTGTGTGTGTGTGTGTGTGTGGGCCCCCCATTCAGAAGGAGTGTTTTCCGAATCCCAACCACCTGCCAGCTCTGTTCCCTTATGGCAGGTGTGAGTTGGTTTGTACGTGATTCAGACCACTGATGAACGCGGAGCATATGTGACAGTCTTATCGCCAGCATCTCCCTGTAATAACATTAAGACGGGCGCATTGATGGAGAGATTACCGGAACCTGAGGGATTGTGAGGGCTGCTCATATGAATGGTACGTGCCTGATTCAGCCCAATAAACGGGGGTTAAAAGGTAAAACATAATTTACATTCGGATAACAGTAGAGAATATGGAGCCCTGCATTGTTCAATATTGATTAAGTAACAAATCACTGATATTTATTTCATAGGAATACATTTTTACTTCATTATAGATATTTCATTTCAAAATGGCATATAGGTGTTTCCCTCTCACTTTTAATCAATCACATGTCCCTTATCCTCATCTATACAAGCTCAACAACTGCTACCAGATTTAGCCAGTTAGCTGCTCTTGTTAGCAAGTAATTCTGAATCAACCAACTAGAAGCTGCTGCTGTAAATAAACACGAACATCTGCCTTTATTCATGTAGCTTAGCCAGTTACCATGTTAACCAGAGGAACAACAATGTAAAAGTAACTCTGAATCAACTATCTTACAGCTGATGTATATACATCTTATATTTATTTAGCTTAACAAGGCTACACTAAAGTGAAGTGACGAGACGGTAATAATGGCTGCAGCTGAAGTTAGCTGGTTAATTCAGAGTTTCTAAACACATTCCTCAGAGAGAGAAACACAACAATGTGAAGTCCAAAGTGGCACAAAGTCTTCCTCTGTGGTGTCTAGCTAACAGTAGCCCTCTAGCTAACACTGCTAACACCGTCACACAACCCAGCCTAACCGGCTAGGCAGGTTAGCTAAATAATGCAAGAGGTGCAATGTTAGGCTAGCTACTGTGTCTGTGTACTGTGTCTAATTTCAGCAGCTTTTAGTTGGTTTATTCATAATGACTTTGACATTGATGTTGCTCTAGCTAACAGGAACTAACAGGCGCTAAATTTGGTAGCAGGTGTTGAGCTTGATAAGCTACATGAAAATCAACTTCAATAGAACTCATAACTTTGAAAATAGAAATGTTTAAATTACATTTTACAGTAAAGCGATCAGCTTTAATATTTTCTTCAATTATTACTTGAGTTTTTAGTCCATTTAAATATTTTACACAGCAATTATTTCACGTCATTTTTATTTATTTAATAATAACCACACAGGGGTTCCATAAGAGAGGCTGTAAATCGTATCAGTGTGTGAGGAATATGAATTTTTCTGTTCAGTATTAACGAGTGAAAATAGCAATGACAATAAATCAACAGTCTCTCAGATGTGTGGGAGAGCGGAAGAAAGTTTTCCTGCCTGACATCATGGGTTCAGAGGTTAAATTCACAAGCAGGTGGCCAGGCCGAAAGAGAGCCCGAACCTGGGCGTTTCTTTTAGAGGCTCCATTATTCTCAAGCCAGACCGAAGCAGGCCAAGCCGCGCCATCTGTTTCAGTAACCTGTTGACAAAATGACAAACTCAAACCAGAAGATTAAGACTTTGTGGTGTCACGTAAAAGACAGTATTGTCTCAGGGGTCTCACCCGACTGCGTTTGGCTCTGTACCACACTTGCAAATCGGAAGGTCTGTAAACATTGCGTAGTCGAGTTCATCGCTGTCAGATAACGAGCTCATATTTCCAAAATGTCAGCTTTTCAGGAGCTAAGAAAAACAGCAGTGTTTTGAGGCTCGATGGCACCGCATTGGGTTAAGAGTTTGGAGTTTCTCAACTGACTGGGGACAATGAAACCATGCAACCGGAGTGAACAAAATGAAAATCAGCAAAACTGAAGTTACGTGGTTTTCAAATGGTGCCACATGGGATCGTTTCAGTTTGAGTACGGAGCATTTTATTTCACTTAAAAGGCATCATGGCTCGCTGATCTGCAAAATGTCATGGCAGAATTTCTCAACACCTTTCTCTCTCTCCTCAGCCTGCCACTGCAACCTACATGCCCGCCGCTGTCGTTTCAACATGGAGCTGTACAAGCTGTCAGGCCGGAGAAGTGGCGGGGTCTGCCTCAACTGCCGTCACAACACGGCCGGACGCCACTGCCATTACTGCAAGGAGGGTTACTACAGGGACATGACCAAGTCCATCTCTCACCGGAGGGCTTGCAAAGGTAACAGGAAACAGGATATGTAAGGGGTTATAACATTGTCTGTGCACAGCCACCAGTATTTCCACAGTATAACTGTTACACCTCCCTCTAACGTAAGGACTACGTAATGTTTTATACACATGCTTTTCACCAATGCTCTGTTTCCAGTGGTGGAAAGTAACCAAGTTAATATGCTCAAGTGTGACTTAAGTACAATTTTGAAGTACATGATCTATCTAACTATTTCCATTTTATGCTGCTTTACACTTCCACTATATTTACTCGTTTAGAATAAGTGCATTGCAAAAGACTTTGGTGTGCGACCCTTTACAAGAAAGTGGTGTCTAGTTTTGGCCTCTTGTCAACTTTCAATGTAACCCTAGTTTCTTTGACTAACCTGGTTCCTTAGGTGCATATAAACATACTGTATGAATTGTTAGCAGTTCCACCAAAGAAAAACCAGCAACGTTTAGAAAAAAATTACAGCCCATAAACATAAATTTGTGTAGCAGAACTTTGTTTTTTCTTCTTTCCTCTCCCATAAATCACGTCACAGTCCTTCAGATTTTTATTGTGATCCTTTGATTGTGACCAGACCTCTAGATTGAGAACCACTGAACTAAACTATGAAACTGTTTATGAAGTAGTTAAAACTAGCACCACGTCGATCAGCTAAACTTTACTTTTGATAAATTGAGTAAATTCTGCTGATAATACTTGTGTACTTTCACCTAAAGCTTAAATGTGTTGATTTTGGCGGTGGTCTCTGTGGACAAAAGCGGTAAAAGTTCCTCACAGTAACTGTAAGTAGGATTTTGAATGCAGGACTTTTACTTCCAACTTTTTTCCCATCGTGGTAAAGGTGTATTACTTACGTAAAGGATCTGTGTGCTTCTTCCACCACCATCTGTTTCACACTTCAGGTATTAAAGGAATTCTTTTAAAAAGTTGTGGAGAAAAGCGCCCACCTGTCTTGGTGTCGGTGAACTGACCCGTGGAGCTCCCAAGCTATTTGGGGTCCTCTGTGGATCCCTGACAAGACAAACATAACAAACAGAACAGAGGTGTGAGCTGATCCGCTGAACAGAGCGGTGGAAACAACTCGCTAATCGTCCCTGTCCCCTATTCATACTTACTTAGTAGGCACAAAAAAAACAACACTCACACACACGCACATAGGTGTGAGCACATACGTCAGATTCGAGACCAAACCCGCCAAGGATTAATGTGTGCGGAGACAAAAGCTGGGGCTCCTTCTGTCTCGCAGCACCTCAGGGAGTAAAGACAGGATCCGAGGCCCTGAGCAAACAATCTGAGCTGTCACTCAGCCACTCTGGCTGTACGCTCACCGGCAAAATATTCCATAGATGCACGAAATACTTGCACATATCTATGCATGTCTCTGACTACGTGGCAGTGGGAAGCATTGATGTAAATGTGAAATGCTGTTTTTGGAGGGAAATTCTGTTTATAGTCTGTTTAAATAGGGAGGGGGGGACTTTTTAAATGCTACAAATTTTATTTGCATGCCATTGTACATTTCCATAACAATCCTTTACCACATCCTAATGGCAAATGAGTGACTTTGGGCAGATGCACATATTGCGGTCTTGAGCAACATCCACGACGGGCTGGGGAAAGGGTCTCGGGATGCCGATCCTCCGGTGCCCCGATCCTCGGTGCACCGCTGGCTATTTAAAACACAGCAACAGCAACATGATATTTCCTACTGCATGCCACAACATTCCTCCCCTCTTTATTCACTCGGCTTTGCATAAAAGCGGGCATGAAATGAAACAAAAGGCTCGAACAACAGGGGCCTCCATTTATAAGATCTGGGTATTTTGTATCAGACCGCGCTTTGATCGATTTGCTGCATGTGGTAGTGTTGTGCTTAACACAAGCTTGATAGATCGTCTGCACTGCTGAAGAAAAAAAAAGAAAGACAAATGGTTCTTTGCTGCATTGTTTCACCAGCCAGCCTAAACATTTTCACAAGTTATATTTGGGGAGAGGCTGGTTTTAGGGGGGATGGAGCTGGGAGCAGGTTAGAGTAATAGAAGTTCTCACTTTGCCTAATGATGTAGCAACATCGATAGATCTCTGCAAAGTCTTTCCAAACAGCTGGATCTGTAACCTGAACAGTTCAAGCCCCTCTCCCCATCCCTTCACGTACCCCGCTCGGCGCTCCGGGATCGAAACCTAAACAGCCTGATTGCCGCCCGTCTCCTCAGGTGACAAAAACCGGGCGATGTGACATCAGTTAGAAACCACTATATTTATTGTTCAAATCAGCCAACCGTCCCACCCTGCTGTTGTTGGACAGGAAATACAGCGCTGGGCCAGCACAGCCCGGAGGAAGTCTGCTTTCATTCCCCGTTCCTTAACCCGTTAACAATTTGCTTAATAGTCGAGAGGTTTAGCAGGAAAAAAATGGCTCTGCACCTATAGTGGCAGCGTGGAATGCCTCATGCTTTATTTCCCAGATTAACAACTTCACCCCTCATCAAGCGCAGTGTAAACACGGCTCTTGGAGAACGACGGTGCACACCCCCCCACCCCCTACCAATCCCTCACCCCCGAACGTTTGGCAGCCTAAGCCTTTAACTAGGCGCAGCAAGTCCACAGGGACGGAGCTGGTACATGGTTCACTGCACGCCACTCCTCGGAACCACCTCTGCACAGCCCCTCCCCCACTGCAGGTTGAAATCAATTAATCTGTCCCAAGTTTGTAGCACCCCCTGTGAAGGCAGTGAGGCTGTGGTTTTGGACTTTTGAGATGGAAGTGGTGCGAAATACAGTCAGTCTACCTGTCTTTACAACAACAAAAATTAGCGTTCTGATATTTAAAGGCATAGTTTGACATTTTTGAAAATTGGCTTATTACCTTTCTTAGACAGTTAGCTTAGCTTGGCACAACGAATGGAAATAGATTGAAGCAGATAGCTACATTCTGGTTATAAAACCCACCTACCAGCACCTCTAAGGCTATGCTATGCTAAGCTAAGCAGCAGCTGGCGGTAGCCGTAGAGAAAACCAAAGTCGTGCCACAACTGTCGACGGGATTTTGAATGACGTTTTCTTACATCTGGAGCAGCTCCTGGACACTTACAGAACAAAGCTGTGAGTGGTCTCAATCACAAGAGATTATTTCACTGATTTTTATTTCTCCGATTTTTGGTAGATGAGCATGTAAAGTAGCAGTCGAAAGAAAACTTTGTTGGTAGAAACCATTCGACTGACTGAAATCTTCTCTCTATGATGTAATTGTTCATTTGTTTATTGTTAGCTGATGGCTATTTTATTTCTTTTGTACTTTCCATTAAACAGCCCTCCCTCATTTTATATAAGAAACATACTCATGTTGAATTCTCACAGGAAATGAACAGGATCCCTACATTTTATTTTTTAAATCACTGTTATTTTAATTCAACAAATACACTTGGAAAGACGCTTTCACTACACAAATCAAGATGTTAGAGCTGTAAAAAATATATATATTATTAAAAAAAAGATTTAATAAGCATCTCGTTATGTTCATGAAGCTCTATAAATTCCAACTAAAAGCAACTCCAAAACTCTGCTGGACCACTTCAAGCAGATTTCAAATGACTCTGCCGGTACATATAACACATGCAGGGCTAATAGGGAGGCTGGGCTTCCACTTCAAACACTGGCTTTATGGTAAATGTTTGGCAGAACACACACTCTCACACACACACACAGAACAAATTTCTCACATTTAAACGTGCGATCCTCCCAACTAACAGCTTAGACAGACTTTGAAGTGCATTCCACTCATCCATTAATGGGAAACATTATGCAGGCAGTATTTGCAAGGAACTCTTTGCCAAAAAGCTCCACATTGGAAACTCAATCTGAAGAGCACACAGTCCGTCTGATCCCGACGGTGCAGAGGACACAAAGCCTGCTCTCAAGACAAGCTCAAAGACACACGCACCCCCGATGAGCGCCCATAACACACGTGCGTTTTTTTTGCGTTACACACACACACACAGTAGAGCGATACAGTGCGGTGAGGGTGAAGTACTACAATTAATCAAGCTATTTGCTGCTCTGCGTGCCTTCCAGAGCCGACCTATTGAGGAATCCCGTGGTCACGATGGGTTGGAGGGAAGCAGTGTAATTTGATTGAGGTTGTATGCTGGTGCAGGGCCCAGTTCCCCATCTGTGATGGTCTGGAAGAAGAAGAAAAACGCAGCCTGCACGTAAATGATTCCTCGCTAGGTTTCCGTGTGATGACTTTTTATTGTATGGAATATGTAGAGTCAGCAAAAGGGGCGGGGCAGAGACACACTGTAGCCATCTGAAAGTCGATATGGTTGTTTTTTTGAGGGCGCTGGTTTTGTAAACCGCTCATGTTTTCATTTTTCAAATCACAAGATGTTTACTCGGGTTTAATCTAGCTTGATGTTCTTGTGCCTTTTTTCTTCTTCTTCCCCTCCTGTCCCCCCATAGCATGTGACTGCCATCCAGTCGGAGCAGCGGGGAAGACGTGTAACCAGACGACGGGCCAATGCCCCTGCAAGGACGGTGTGACGGGAATCACCTGTAACCGCTGTGCCAAGGGCTACCAGCAGAGCCGCTCCCCCATCGCCCCCTGCATCAGTAAGGACCACTCCTACCACACAATGAATGGATCCACACCATGTTAATCCAAGTTAACCTCTTATAGGGGAACTGGTACAACTTTCTTAATGAGGGTTCATGATATCGATCGGTAATAATACACTTTTCATCAGAAAACGTTTGGGTTGCCACGTCGCGAAAATCTCCCTTTGGCTGGCCAGCACTTTGCCTCATCAGAACTGATGTAAATACATTTATTAAGAGTGGTTGTAAAGGGAAGAAAACACCAAACACCTCATTAGTGACTTGATCATCTTGTAACAAGGCATCAGGTCTGAGTCATAAACATTTATTATGGAAGTAAAAGGCTGTGGGTTCCTCGCTTTCTAATAGGTCATCAAGATTAATTAGGGGCACTTAAAAAAAGCAGCGTTAGATATGCAGCCAAAGAGATTTCTGACTACCCCTTTTGAAATAAATGATCCATAAAGCATTAAAAACTAAGGTATTAACTATTGATAAAACATGGGGCAACTTAAAACAACAATAAAGTCTATAAATCCTAAAATTCAGATACTTCTACGAACTAAAAAGATTTAAACTCACTCCACAGAAAGGGGTTCAACAAAGTGAATCCTTGTGTCTATTTGAAATATTTGGTTCTGGCAGCTTGTTGACGCGGAGCATAGCTGCTCAAAGTGCGGGCCAATGGCAGACCCTCAGAAACATGTAGTGCGGCCCCCAAACACGACATGAAACGGACACGTTATATTTTAATCATCACTTACAATAGCTTCCATTAAATTCACTGATCGACTGTACATAAGAAGTGGACGTAGTCGCCCTTACGTCACACATTGGTTTGCGATAGAAAACCCACAGAGAACCTCAGGACAGGATCTGAAAAGAACAGGACATGCTTGTTATGCATGAATTCATGGCTCGCACTCATCTCGTGTTACATTTGAGATATTTTGGATAGATACTTGGCCGTTCAAAACAGAGCCTGGATAAACAGACCAGCAGAGGTTGCCGAACACGGCCTTGCGTGCCTTCAACGCCGTTAACGGTCTCTCTTGCAATAAATCCCCAGAACGAGTCCAAGGGAATGATGGCTGATATATTTATTGGCCGTATCTGCCGCCTGCAGATTCCAGGCCCTCGGCAATAAACGCCAACGCCTCGCAGAAACAGAGCGGGGTCGCTGGTAGCCGCTTTAGCTAGGAGCATCCAGTAGCTGGCTGGCGTGGTCAGATAAGATAACGGTGATGGCCGGGAGGACATGTACACACTAACAATTGTCCACTATGTTACCGGGGTTGACATTTCTGATAAAGGCCTGTGTGGAAATTGGACATTGGTGTCTGTGGTCTTGTTTGGCCGGAATCCTGAACGATAATTTAAACCCGCGAACCTGCTGGAAGAGCTTTTCTCTCATTTTGTTGGGAAGGTAACAAATGTGTAAACGCCGGAGGAAATGGGGTTCTTGAAGAACATATTTGGTTTCAATGTATATTTATTGAGATAAGGCCTTTTGGCTTTTTAAATAGCACGATATTAAATCTTTGTGATATCTAACTCCCTGCCAGCTCCGACTTTAACAAGACCGGCGACCTTGGCTCTCCGTAGCTACAACACACCACAATCCGGAGGGAGAAGGAATATTAATGGAAAACTCACAGTCTTGTTACACATTATTTCGGCACATCTGCGTAAAATCAGTCATTAAAAAGACATCCCATTAAATCTGTGCTCTGAGGGTTTTCACATTCTGCTCTGAGGAGAATAACCAGGAAATTGAGATACATATATTCCCCCATCACATAAGTTTTATTGTGTGTGCCTTGTAATTTGATCACAATGTTAAAATCTATTTCCCTCTTTGTTACAGAGATCCCAGTTGCATCTCCTACGGCAACTTACACCAGCTACGAGGAGCCGTCAGGTGAGAAACACAGCGCAACACTGCTGATTTTAGAACAATTAAACAACGCAAAACACACCTGGATTAAAGTCGTTTTTTAATTCACCTACACAATTAAGTGGTATTGCTCTTTTAATGTCTTTTCTGTTAAATATTATTGTGTTTTTCATCATTTTAATCACTGCGCAACTAAACTAAAGCAGCGGCTCCTTCATGCATGTAATTGTTTGTGCATTTTGAGCACCGTGAATGTTTTTTTCCATCCGTCCGTAGTCGTAGTCCTCAACTGGAACACACGTCAGTGAGGTCTGAGTGCCGCTGATGTAAACTCCAGATATTTTGCCAGCGCTCCCTGCGGCCTCGTTGCCTGTATTCCCAGCCTGCCCGGCAGCCTCCCCAGGGTTTCAGCCCTAATCTGATTACATGCTTCATTTGCACCAGTTTGTATTTCAATCAGGGCCGGCTGTGCCGACAGTGAAGCCATGCCCAACCGCATTGTTCATGTGCTCCGACAAGCGTCTCCGTGCTGGACTGCTGACATTGGACCATGTGCAACAAAAATATCAACCTGCAGTGTAATTTGTCCCGTCCTTCAGCGGCTGATTAGGATGGCTATTCGTAGAAGTAACTGACCAGCTAACAGGCCGTAAACCTGCTGCCTCAGCTGGTAGTATGCATTTATTAAATTACAGTATTAGCTTTCACCATGATACAGCTTTGGTTGTATGGACTGAGTCAACCTCTGATCATCAATCAGCGTCTGATGAGAGTGGCGCCACTGACTTCATTCAGCTTTGTTGTGAGTCCCACTTCCTACTATGGTGACTGGTGACTGTGCGGAGTTTGGACTCCTGTCAGAGACTCCACACAGACACCACCCTCCAAATTAGGAGCAGTGTGGTCCCCCAGGGAACCCTGCAGAATGAACGGGGCACTGCTGCGGGGGACACACAAAGGGGGCGTTTGTCCTCGCAGCGGGAGATTGGCCCTTAATGAGAGCCGCGGGTGTAATGGCCCAGCGCAGCAATTGCGCTAAAGGGGCTAATGGGCAACGTCAGCTATCAAAGGGAGGTATGATAAAGGCCCCCAGGGGCCAGCGGGAGATAAAGCCCCCACCGCCTGCCCTTGGCACTTCATTTACATGGAAATCAGGCGTGCTCGATATGGACTCGTCAAATTAATTTACTTTGGGATTTCCTCTTTTCTTATTTCTCCTGCCACCCTATAAAGCAGGCAGGCATTCCACCAGAAATGCTTTTCTCTACATACATGAATTCGATCCTCATCCCACGTCCCGTACCGCTCTTTTTTTTTTTTTTTTTTTTGAGAGGGAGGAGAGGGGCGTTTTTTTCTTCCTCAATCATTACCCAGGCAACCTCATTCACACGGAGCATAATGGGGAAGAAAGGGGAAGACTGGACAGAGGGCTGGAAGAAATAATGAAGTTTGTCCATATTCAGGCAAGCTGAAAGGTCCCCTCTCTCTCTCTCAACTGCCCCCTCCATTCTCTTCAGACTGCCCAGCCCAGCTTTCCCACCCCACCCCCCACCCCCACCCCACCTGAAAAGAGCACAAGGCTTATTGCTCTGGGAGAGGCGGAATGGGAGAGAGGGGGGGGGGGGACACTCAGAGATGATCTGGTTCCAATTTGTGTCAGTTAGTGGAGAGTGGTGGGAACAAATTATTTCAATTTTTCAGTTCGCACTCTGGTCCCACCAGCGCCCTCGTTACAAAAGGAAACCTGGTGCAGTGACAGAGCGACAGCGGCGGCCATCGATAAAGCCCTTTGGCAGGTACACATGCACTGGAGACATTAATCAGAAGTCCCAGAGCTTCTTTCTCTGGGACAGAGAAAGAACATGCCGCAGAACATTCAGCCTCATCCAGCGTTCGAGTATTCACTCACTCCCATCACGTGGATTAGACGCTGCTTAGGAGTCCCTGCTAATTTTCAGTAGGTCGCTCGCTAATATCCCCCCCGCGACCTTCTTTTGTGTGGGGGGTGTCCTCTGTAGCCCTCAGAGCTCACACAATGCATGCCAGGACACTGACGAGGGAGCAGGCTAGAGTGTAAAAGCTGGGAAGGAGTATAGTAAGAGTGTGTTGACAGACACAGGAGGATCTGTGTGAGCTATAACCCATTTCACAGTGGCACTTTGAAGGCCTCTCGGAGACCCCCGGGGGCACAAATATTGTGATGCAAAGGGACCATATGACACACACGGAAGCATTTTATGAATCGCAGGATGAAATTTGCCATCTAACTTTGCCTCTGTCTTTCCTTTTCACCTCTTCTCCCTAGACTGCGAGTCTCACTGTAAAGCCTCCAAGGGAAAGATGAAGATCACTATGAAGAAGTACTGTAAAAAAGACTACGGTGAGTGAGTCCAATATGCAGGAATGTGTGCTGCCAGACGTCAGCCAGCAGTCAAGAGGTCAGATGTCTCAATTAATCAGACCCCCGAGCGAAGCTAATCCGCACCCTGGTGCTGCTCTTACACAGCCTGAAGCAACGTCCTCTAATTCAGATTCATCTGGACACACATCTTTCCTCTCCGTTACCGGCATCCAAAACGTAGATGATTTTGAAGTCTGGACAGGGAAAACAGAGTTACCGGCCAACGTTCTGCTCATTTTTGTATGTTGATCCAGCTGATCTGATCACACAGTGCAGGTGTTTTCATTGCCATATCTCTCCTTTTTCTGGTGTCAAATAACAGGTCAAAGGTAGCATTTACCCTCAATCAAATCATTATTATATGCTTATACTTTATGACGATAACTATACTTTAACGACAGGCCAGTCAAAACACCTGTATTGTTTGAAACACAGATCACAGAGAAGGATGGCGGCAACAGAACAGAGCTATAAAAGGTGCTGAAAGACGGATTTTGTTACCGTTGGACAGAGCCAGGCTCGCCGTGTCCAGTCTTTGTGCTAAGCTAAGCTAATTGACTGCTGGCTCCTGTTCCATATTTACCGATTAGAGTGGCATCAATCTTCCCATCATATTTCCTCAAATGTTGTGGCAGGCTAACTTCTGTATAAACTAAACAAACTCACGGCAAGTCGCAGCTCACTGAGGTGAGCTTTTAAAGACTAAAACAAGCTGTGGAGTAGTAACGTTAAAGGAGTAAAATTGAATAACTTAAGGCTTCAACTACACACTCTTGTTGCAGCCTAGGAAAAGATAAGGGATAACTTTGTTTGGCTCATTTTCTGTACCCAGTGTAGCATTATAGCATGGTGGAATTAGCTAGCTAACTAACTAACTGGTGGACAGCTGGCTAGTTAGCTAGCTTGTTAAATTCACCATGATTTAATGCTACACTGGTTACTTAATGTGAACAGCGGGCTGGTTGTCAGCAGCGACTACTTTTCGGCCCCACTGACGTGTGTTGTCCCCATAACAACAAACAACAATAGCCATTTTCTTTTGCACTAATTAAATGACATCTGGAAAACAGTTCAATGTCCGTTCTACTACTATTCTATCTCTATGGTTGAACTATTCCTTCAACTGAGAACAGGATGGAGGATTATAATGTGTAAATGCTAACGATGTGTCGTCTTCCCTTTGAGGATTGCCTAAGATACCTAAATGTATTGTGTTAAGGAAAAGCCTGTGCACGTCTCCCGCCCCGCTGCACCTCTTCTCTGGTCAAAGTGTGAATGTCTGAACTACGGTAAACCTAAGCAGGACAGACCACACAAGCATGGTGGATACGCTTTGTCCAACACAGTCAGCCTGAGGCATTTAGCAAAAACTTTGAAGTTTTAAGAGCAAATCCCACACAGATAAGAGAAGCCAAAACACACACGGCAATCACATTATGTTGTAGATGAATCCACAGAACAAGTGGTGCAGCTGAAATACATGTAACAGTGTAGTGCCAGGCAAATAAACATCATATCACGGGGTATGACGTGATATTTTGAAAAACGCCGGTGCCACCAGAGTAAAGCAAAGACAGCTGTGTTTCACAAACCGACAACTTGGAACCAGACGGAAATTTGATGGTTGATGACACTGACATTTACACTTCACACTAAAACCAGTGCCATACCTGTAATTCAAACACATACAGTATAGGGATACAACTGAGGCAGTAGTAGAACACTTGTTTTCATTACATATTCCCACTGTGTAGCTCTACTTTCACTCACACGGCAAATGATCCACGGCGCTCTTTGGATTTTCTGCACCATTAATCATGGCAACAGAAGTTTATCGGTTAGTGGTGGATCAACATCTGTAAACCACAGAGACACAAAACAAAAACCCTCCGTTCAATCAAATGTTGCACATCTCGTCTCAGCCAGGTTTCTGCAAGTATTGTATCCTCTAAAAAGAAAGCAAGGGTGCTTCTGTAAATAAAACCTACATTTATCTTTGTTAAAAAAGGTCCTTCACTATTAGCTCTGCTCGAACACTTCCAGCTCCCCGAATGTTGATTGCTTTCAGACATGACTAACTTGCCTCTCGTTCAAGATCATCGTAGCTGAAACATCATATTTATGGACTTTAAAACGGCATCCAACTGAAAATTGGCCAAATACATTTTATTCCCGCTTACAGCTGAGTAGACAGTAATTCAGGCCATTTGTTGTGTTTTGCTGGGAAGCCCAGCGCAGCCATTATTCATATTTCGACTGATTTAAATCTTAATCACCGGAGCTGAGACAGGCTCTGCATCTATAAATCAGTCGGGCTGAGTCAGGCAAAGAGGGCGGTTCCTGTTGCTTTTCTCTGAAGTTTGTTTAAAAAAAAAAAAAAACGTTCTGGAAGCAGATGATTCTGCCTGAGCCGCTGCTGAGCCAGTGTGGCAGATATCATTGCTTAGCATGCGCTCCCTCCGCCTCGGCCCTAATTCATTTCTCAGGCCTGTCGCCTCGCTTTTGTGGGAGCTTCGGGGTCTCCTCTCTGTTCTTTTTGGGGCCACAACCCCCCCATGTGTGAGTTGGTGATACGGCACCCCCCGGGGGGTCACGGGAAGGGGCCCTCTTGTTTAAACACAGTTGTGCGCTGTGCCGGCAACCGAGCATTCCTTGGGGCACAAACAGGTGGTAAATTAGGCGGACGGTGACGGATTGCCACCCCGGAGAGAAAGAAATATGTTTTGTTTATTCAATTTTTGTTTTTCACCGCCGCCGTAGCTACGGAGATGGAGGACACAAAGGGATTATATTCTCGCCTGACACCCTCCTCTGCACACACGCACCCTCCCTCTCCCTCCCTGCCACCGGGAGGACAATGAATCAAAGCGCCGCGTGTTTGCAGACGCTCTGGGATAGTGCTCAAAGGCAGGA